TCTTACAGATCCGCGCCAAAGAGGCACAGAAGCTCCAGGCGGCCATGACCCGGAACCCGGCCCAGGAGGAGCGGCTGCTGATGCTGACCCGGCTGGGCGAGCTGGCCCGGATCCTACGGAACGTGTTTGTTGCAGAAAAGAAGGCGGCGCTGGTCATGGAGGTGGCGTGCAGCCGCATGGTGGCAAGCTACAGATCAGCTCTGAGTCTAGGTGGGTTCCGGCGCCGATTCTGGTTCCGTCAGTAAATCCTAAAGTGACCAGTGACTGTGAGGTGTTAACTGGGACGCATTCAGAGTGAGTTTACTGTTCTGACCTGACCGACTGTCCTTTGTCTCCAATCAAAAGGTGAAATGGAGAAGCACATCCGTCTCCTGGCTGAAGTGGCTCCTGATTGGCTGAGCATTCATCCCATCAGGAAGGATTTCTACCTGAAGCTGAACAAGATGATGGAGCTCAACGTCATTCTGGACAAACTCAACCACAGACTCAGAGAGGAGGAGCGACTCTGACAGGACTCAACATTCTGCCTCCAGATATAAACTGCTGATTTCCTGAGAGTTTCTCAGATTGTTGCAACATGAAGATGATCTCAGTTGGAGAGACGACACTTTTTCTAAACCTCATGATGTGAAAACCCAGCCTAGTTCTGGTGTCCAACCTGCTGTGTTGGAGAAAGATTATTATTTTTTTTTTTAATTCTCCTCCAAAGGAGGAATGTTGGTTTGCTGACTTGATGTCTCTTAGGATCAAGTGAAATCAGGTGTGCCGTATGTTTCTATGAGTGCCGTTGAGCCTACTGTCATCCTCACACACACTGTATGTGTTGTAAAGTGTCATGTTACCAGTTTGTTACACAGTACAGGCTCAAGTTCCAGTTAAATGTGTGAAATAGCCAGTGGTCCCAGTGTGTTCCTATAACCTCATGGTGTAGCCATTCAGCTTCCCTTCAGTCTGAGCTTCCTGTTCTCTGATTGGCTAACACCTGTACACAGCAGCATCACTATTGAGGTGCATTTGAGTAAATAAACATATTAAAAAGTTGATTTCTTTCAATAATTCTGTAAAAAACCTGACCTCATATGTTTATTACCCACAGCTTGATGTAGGTTTATTAAAACGTTTGAGCCACTGGGCAATTCCAGGTGTTTTACACGATGAAGAAAAATTAAATAAAACCAACATTAAAGGAAAGAGATGGAAGAGTTTTTGAAACTTCATGATGATCCAGTTATTAATCCAAAGCAACTCTATAAACAGGTGGGATTTTAGCCTTGATTTAAAGACACTGTGTTTCAGCTGTTTTGCGGTTTACTGGACATTCCAGACTTTTGGTGCATAAAAGCTGATTGCTGCTACTCCATGTTAGGTTCTGGTTCTGGGGATGCACAAGCAGAACCAGAACCAAAAGTTTGATACAACAACAATAGGTCATTAATGTGAAGACATTGTTGCAACTAAAGATAAACACATGGATGAGTTTCTCTAGAGCTCGCTGAGACATTAGTCCTTTAATCCTGGAGATGTTCTTCTGGTGATAGAAGGCTGACTTTGCAGCTGTCTTTATGTGAATCTGGAGGTTCAGGTCTGAGTCCATCATTTCACCCAGAGTTCGGACCTGATTAGTTTCTAGCTTGTAATAACTGATCATTCCTCTTTAGGTCCGAAAATGTTAAAATTGTTTCTGTTTAGCTGGAGAACACATCCAGACATTGATTTGTACTAAGCTTCTGTTCAGCATGGCTGTGTATCATCTGTGTAGCTATGGTAACTAATCTTATTTCCTCTTGCAACCTGAGCTAGCAGAACATTGTAGCTTTTAATTAAAAATGGTTCCAGGACTGAACCTTGATCTCATGTGGCCTACCCTCCTTGAGGTTGGAGTTTGATGAACTGCAATTTTCTCTGTGATTGTGTTGGCCGTTGCTGAATAAACCATAGTTGTTTATCTCGATATAAACAGGCACCTGGATAATGCAGACTTGCTAACTTATTTCATCCTCAGATGGAGGTATATTTGTTGCTGTTCAACAGCCTCACAAACTACCAACACCTTATTGTAAACACGCAAAGTCCTTCATCTGTTAAACCTTCCTGAGCCCCGCCTCACTTCCTCATGTGTGCGGTTTCCAGATGGTGTGTAATTTGTATAAACTCTTTAGTGTTTCTGCACCTTTATGGATCATTTCATTTCCAACCCAATTACCAAACATGGTATTTCTTCCTGGTTTACTCTTCCAGAAAAATGGAATTAAAAAAAGTGGACTAGGTCAATAATACCAGCACTTGTGAAAGTATCCATGCATTGAAAGATTTATTCTGGAACATTCTGGAAGCTCTATAGATATGAAGAGTGGCTGTAGTGTTTGATTATGTGCATAGAGGTGAAACAGCAGCATTGCATGCATCAAGAAGACAGTCACAGCCAGTGAGCCAAACTGGCAGAAGTTGGAAGAACAAACAAAGCTGCCCATCAAACGCACAATTTCTGAGGAACTCAATGACACCTTGTTACCTCGGCTTCTGCTGAATCGTCTTTATCTTTTTAAAAGGGCAATTCCAGCTTTTATCTCCTCACATGTAGACATCTCTAACACTACCTTGGTTTAGATGAATCAACTCTGCAGTGATATTAAACTGGAAGACTGAAGCTCCTGTTTCCAGATTGATTTAAGCACTTTATGTTTTACTTTTAAAGTTTAAAATAGTCATCTGGATCTTCACCACTGTATTTGTGGTGAAGATCCACAAATATAGTGGATATTTGTGGATCTTCAGAATCCATAAATATAGTGTCTGGAAGACAAAAGAGTTCTTCTGTCTTCCAGCTAGTTATGGTTAATAAAGATTTCCTTCCCCAAATCATTGGTGTAGATCACTCATATAAATGATTACTGCAATGTGTGTACTACATTGTACACATTGTAGCAAGTACAGTGTTACTATATAGTACTTGTTGCAGCATTGGCTCCTCCTGTTGGGTTCAGGAGACTCATGAAGCTGCCATTAAAACTGCTGTTCTTCACTCACTTCCTGATGATTAGCCTCTATCTGTAATAACTGAAACTGTGTGCTGAGTCTAGATTGTTCATCTTTAGGTCCAAAGTGGAATGATTTGGGATCTAAAGATAATATGAATCATAATTTGTAATGATATAGTAATCATAATCATAATGTAGTAATGAACTGGAATAGTTTATAATTCCATATATACAGGCGCATCATCTCACTACAGCCAATCATCTGTCTCCATTTAGTCCTGTCCTCTGAATCCTCCACCCTCACACCAACTGACTTCATGTCTTCTTCTACACATCCAGTAATCTCCTGGTTGGTCTTCCTCTTGGCCTCCTGCCCTGTAGTTCCAACCTCAGTATCCTTCTACCCGATAAATGCTGTCTCTCAAGTGGACGGATCCAAACCGTCTCAGTCTAGCCTCTATAACTTTATCTCCAGAACATCTAACTTGAGCTGGTCTTCACTCCTGATCCTATCCATCTTCATTACTCTCTAAAGCAGGGATGTCAAACTCCAGTCCTCAAGGACCACTGTCCTGCGGGTTTTAGATGTGCCACAGGTACCAAACGCTGGAATGAAACTGCTTAATTACCTTGTGTAGATATGTTCTCCAGAGTCTTAATGACCTAATTATTTTATTCAGGGGTGGTGCAGCAGAGGCACATCTAAAAGTTGCAATACAGTGGCCCTCCAGGACTGGAGTTTGACATGTGTGCTCTAAAGGAACTCTGTTCAAGGCTGTCATTTCCTATGTCTGTTTATCATGTGTCATGTTTTTGTTTTATTTTGCATTTTATTCTCACATGACTAAACTCTGATTCTAACCTCTTTGGTTACTCTCTTTGCTTTTCATTTGCTGTCCGTTTGACAGAATGTTCACATCCTGCATCCTGTTATAAATCCATGACTTTATAAACACTGGTAAATGTATGTTTTGGATTCTGGTTTTTGCAGATGGCTGCTATCTTGTTTAAACAGGCAGGACAGTGGAAAACATCAGCTTCATAAAATAACACATTTTATAACATCACATGTTCTTCACTGTTGCACATATAAGTATATGTGCCTGAAAATAATGTATAACAGAAATACTTTTCAGATTAGCTTAGTTGCATAGATAGTTATCAGTGTTTGTTCTGAAATTTAAACAATTAGAAATATGTAAAAGGTCAACAAACATTCGGATGATGAGTGTTAAGTAAACATCTTTAAATCCTGGAAGGATCCATTTCAATCCTCTGCCAGATCTAAGCAGTAAGAAAAGAAATAAACCAAGTTATGTTGATATCAACAGTTTGTTGGGGGCTTGTCCGGGATTCCTCGTGATTCTGCACGAGCACAAAAGATGAACAGTTTCCTATTGTAGCAAAATAAGACTTAAGGCTGACTTTATAGGACATATGTGTGTCTTCATGGCACAGAGTGAGCCTGTGTATTGTTCATCTCTCAGGGAAAATGTAGATTCTTAGACTAAAAATATATTAAATACATTTCTTATATCAGAATTCCTAAAGAAAAATCAGGATCAGCAGGTCAAAGCTTAACAAAAAACTGCAGATCAGAAATTGGTCACATTGTTCTGCTCAGTGCATCTCTGTGTTTAGAAACTCATCCACCAAATCAATATTTTAGGCCAAAATTGGTTCTTGCAAGATAAAAAAAAAAGTTTGCTTGGAGTCTGATATGGGAAATATCTCCGAAATACAGATTCATTTAAAACTATGGAATTATTTTGTGCTGAATCAACACAATAACATTACATGGAGAACAGACCGGGGGTCAAATCTTAGATCACAGGTGTAAAACTCAAGGCCCTCAGGCCAAAACCAGCCCACCATAGCCATATTTGTGGCCCTTTAGACCTTAGAAGGTCACATAAATACAAGTTCAAGATAACAGTTGTGTGCTTACATCTTATTTTATCAGTCAAATCAAAGCTGTTTTTTTATTTGCATATGGCCAGATGACATAAATGTGAAAAGATATTTAATAAAAAAAAATATTAAAGAATTACAAACTGAATCCAGAGAAAGTTATATTTTAAAACTCAGTATAGATAAAAGGTAGTTTTATCTATAAATTCTGCCACAATAATCCCTTTGAGGACATTTAAAATCTTGATGGGCCCCAAAATGAAAATTAGTTTGACACACTGGCTTTAGATCTTCACCGGCTTTTACATGTCTTATAGATGAAGAAACGGTTTGGTTTACATCTAGGACTTGATACGTAGTCCTAGATGCAAACCATCTAGGACCTCTATTCAGAGGCAGAGAAGAAGAAGATTCAGCATCTGAACAGAAGAAAATCTCAGCTGCACATAGCAGGAGGGAGCTTTGGTCCTGATACAACAATTCAATTGGAATATAGTTTTTTTGGATGATGAGTTCCACCCATCTGTGCTGTTGACCAGTTCCAGACATTTAACGCTAAATTAGTTTTTTTCATTATCCAGGGTGTGTAAAGGGAGCAGGGGGTCAGGATAGGCTCTTTGAGGCTTTCTTGTTTTCTTGGCTGTAGTCACCAGGAGACGCTGCAGTGGTCCTGGCGAACCAGAGGGGGCGCTGTGCCACTCCTCAGTACTGGAGAAGGGAGAAGATGTTGTGAGGCTTCAGACGGTCAGCTCCCTTCAGGTCTCTGAGTTCGATGACCACCATGCAGCCCTGGATGTCCGCTTGCTGCTTCTTCATTAGCTCACAGGCTGCAAGCAGCGTCCCTGTAACACACACAAACACACACACACACACACACGCACACACACACACACACACTAATGAAACTCAGCTCAACCTTCTGTTGAAGTTCTGTCCCAGACTGCTGCCGACAAGGAAAAGGACAGATATGAATAACTATTTATTCACATGAAGCAAATACAATAAATATTGAACACATGGTTTCTCTTAATAAACATGTTTCTAATGTTTCTATTGTCATAAAATTCACACCAAACTTCAGTCAGAACTCCAGTAATCCACAAAAAAATCTTAAATGGTCCACAAATTGTCTAAACAGAGAAAAGTATTAAAAGTACCAACAGAAACTTATTATAACCTTTCTAATAATACCATTTACAAACTGTTAGATGTGAGAATGAGAAAAGAAGAGTAGAGCTGAATGGATTCTTACCTCCTGTAGCTAAAAGGTCATCAATAATCAGAACCTTCTGGCCTGGAGCCACTGCATCCTCCTGGATCTCTACCTCTGCCTGGAGGAACAGAGGGAATGTGGTGGGAGACTCATTACACAAGAAAGTTGTTTGTCTGTCTTCTTTCTGCGCCCTGAGTGCAAATAATCTTTGATCTAGTCAGGACCAGAGCTCTGTTCCCGTCTCAACCAGCTGGCCGCCCACTCAGCAGTCTGGTTCCTCTTGGTCAGAGGGAGCTCTGTGCTGCCCACGGCAAACCGATCATGCTCTGTTTCACAGCTGGCACTGGAGGGAAACACCAGTTCAGGACCAGTTCGCTGATGGGTTCTGGTTTCCATTCAGCCACAGCTCCCAGCTTCTCGCCCACCTTCTGGTTCCAGGCTTTTCTCCAGATATCAGAACCCGACTTGTTCCTAAGAGGCAACAACAACAACTCCTGGGTTGTGAATGTGACAGTGTTCCTCACCGTGCCGTACTCCAGGTCATAGGCCACACTGACCGTGGCTCCGGGCAGTTTGCCTTTCTTCCTAACCAGAACGAAGCCAACACCCAGCCTTTGGGCGAGCAGGGGCCCAAACAGGAACCCACGAGCATCCAAACCTGCACACGCACACACACACACACACACACACACACTGGTGGGCAACAGAACGTCTCACGAAGCCAGGACAATTCCAGCAGTCCACCCCCCAATTAGTTCCAGGTGAAAGAGAAAAAAACTGCAGAATTGACAAAATGATGTGTTCTGTGATCAAGGTGAGTGGAATAGACAAAAAATATACTCAAGAGTTGAGCTACTTCAACATATTTTTACTCAAGTAAAAACTGTGTATTGCAATTTAGGAATAATTTGGTGTTTGGTGAATTATTAAAATGAGCAGTTCCAGGTGTTTTTAGTGGGACTCTCAAGTGTTTGTGGACTTTAACTATTCCTGGTTAGCTGTTGTCCCTGACCTCTGTGCATACCAGGTAGACCACTGTATTTTTGACCTTTTCTGTAACTGTGTGAAACAGAGAAGCTGACTTTGTTATTAGCTTGTATTACTAACAGAAGTTGCTCAGATTCCTGAACACAACAATTCTAAGCAAATCCTTCTGACTTGCTTCCTCCCTCCCACAACAATGTTGATCTCTACATGTTAACTGAGATAAATAAAAAATAAAAATAAAAAATAAAAATAAAAAATAAAAACTACAAGCTTTACTTGTATCCTCCAATTAGCCTGGTGGTTTTACTCAGTCACCACCAGGCTAATTATTAACAGTAGGAGAAGCAGATAATATATTTTTTTCTGCACATAGGTCACTGATATGTACATGTTTGTTGCAGTTCCACTAGAGCTACTGAGAATAAACATGCTGAAAATAGAAGCTTAGCGCTTCAATGTGTGGAATGCAGAGAAAAAACCTTTTTATTGGCTTGTGTTGCTAATGGTTACCAAACACAGCAACTAGCAAAACTGTCCTAACTGACAACCAGGCTGCTGGATTTTATTTGGGATTGGGAATTTTAAATTTCCAAAATACAGGTTGGGAAAATCATGTGCAACAAGTCCTAACTGTTGGTGCTCAGTCACCGTGGTAACTGTCTGGAGCTTAATGAGCAGACAACCGTCCAGTTTGTCAGTCCTTTTTATAAAATCAAAACTGCAAAGGGGCATGTTCATAAACAGATACTGTCTAGTGACAGGAACCAGCAGCAACCTGGGAGGAAGTCAGGTTCTAATGAGAAACAAGAGGAACTGCTGGAGCGAGCAGCAGATTCTCTGACTGGACCGCTGAACTACCCACACTGCCATTCAGCTGGCTGAAAACAACCTGCTGCCTTTCCCCTCCTTTATAATAAGTCTGCTGACTGTTTTGAAATATTTCCAGTGATGAAAAAACACGCAGAGTCAAAGTTCTGGAAACGGCAGAAGCACAACCCATAACTCTCATTTAGGGAACAGTATTTGAAAATACAGCTCAATGTAAAGCAGCTGACTCCAGGCTAACCAGCTAGCATCAAGCTGTTTGACTACTGTATACAACACAGAATGGTATCATATTTACAAAGCACATGAAAACTGTTGCTAAATGTATCTGTGTATGATAGAGTTGTGCTTAAAAGAATTATTTTAGCAGCAGAATGATTAACTGCAGTTTCCTCTTCTAAAGAGGAAGTGTTATATGTTTCCAGGCACATATAACACTTGTGCCTGATTGTGCCATTTTGTCGCATAATCACGTAACTATGTTTACTATCAGTTGTTAAAAACATTTATATATATCAAATATGACTTAAAATAAATTTTATTTTGTTATTTAACACCTTGAAATGGGGTCTCTACTTCTTTAAGAAACTCCTGTTCTTTCTGAAACTCCGCCTTCAGGAAGTCATCACAACATGACTCCTCTGTTAAGCCTTTAACAACATTTTTACCAGCAATCCACTGAGAAGTAGCTCAATATAATGAGCTCAGCAGATGCACAGTTCCACCAAGTGTTTGCTAATCGCTGCTGGCTAGTCTGAAGGAACCGAGTGGTGAAGTCATGAGGGAGGGCTGCTCTGTGAGGTGGGATCAAATCAACACACCAAGTATGTTTTTGATGAGGTAATAACATTAGAACACGGTGTAAAGTGCAAATAAGTTGATTTTACATGATACTGCATCTTTGAAGATTGTCTCAGTTTCTCTCAGTTACTTTACTGTGAGAAATAACAGTGATGAGAACCAAAGCATTTCTTATCCAATTGAAAAGGAAGAAATTTCAGATCTGCAGTAGGAAGTGGAGTGCAGCAGAAAGACATGGGAATAAAGAAGAACATGAAGATGTTTTCAGACGAGGCAGTCAGGGAGGTGTTAGAGCTCCAGGTCCTGTACAGGAGGCCAGTGGACCAGAGGGACACGCTTACCAACGATCAGGTCCACCTGCAGCTGATGGCTCCTCACATGTTCTTCAAACAGGTCAGTGACCGCTGTGAGAGCAGCTGGACTCTTCAGGATGGGACAAATGTCTCTGCAGAAAGAACATGGCTCACATTAACTGGAAGGCAGTTTTACCTCAAATGTTTTAAAATATTGAAAAGGACTGATTCTTCACAGTGCAACCACAAACCTTGATGTATTTTATTGAGATTCTATATGATCGACCAACACAAAGTTATGCGCCGCTCAGAAGCAAAATAGAAATGATTCATGGTTGTCAAAGTTTTAGAAATCTCAAAAGTGTCATGTTTTTCTGGTTAGCTCCACTTTCTCTGATAATCCCAGCAAACATGAAAGAAGACACTCGGTTTTCTTTTTGTTTTGTTTTTTTTTCTGGCTGACATACTAAAATTTGTGTGGCAGAAAACAAACAGTGCCCAGGACCCCAACATGCCACTCCCATTATAAAACATGGTGGTGGCAGTATCATGGTGGGGCAATGTTTCTCTTTGCTGGTCAGAGTTACTGTGAACGGGCTGAGCCAGGAGCATCGTGGAGGAAAGCCTGAAGAAGAGTTGAGCCTATGGAGATTCACTTTTCAGATTTTAATCTGATAAAATCTTTGACAATAATAAATCGTTTTCCTTCTGCTTTGCAGTTTTGGAGGATTCCTTGTGCTATCTTGAGTTGTTTTTGTCTGTTAGTTAGTTTGTTTTAGGGGTTGGGGGGTTGTTGTTGTTGTTAGTACATCAGGTAAGTAAATGTTAAAAACCCTGAACATGTTGCTTCTGTCTGAAGTGGGATCAGTGCTGGAGCACAGACCTGAGGAACATTAAGAACTGGACCCTGAAGAGCGCAGTCAGCACCAACAGTTCTGCTGCTGGCCTGGCGCTGACTCAGAAAGGGAACTTCAACTTCAGCCAAGAACAGTTCACAGTTCGGCTAACGGGGGTGTTGTTGCTTTAAATCGTGAACATCTCAGGGACCTGGGCAGATCCTGCACCCTTCAGGCCAAGCTGCTGGGGAACCAGTCCAGTCTGATCAGAACCAGTTAAAGGGAATATATTCAGACAGGGCCACCGGGGAGAGGACGTGTTTCAGCCTGAATAACAGTCCTACCTGAACAGGATCCCTTTCTTTGGGAAGTCTGGAAAAGCTCGAACGTGTCTCTGGACCAGCTGCAGTTTCCCTTCCGGTCCTGCTGCCATTCTTCCTGACCTAACCAGAACCGACCCGATCAGGACCGATCACTGACTGGTAATAATCTTTGCTCTCTGGACACACAGGCACCGCTCCACATGTGGCACAGTGGGCATGCGCTGGAATCGTCTTCTTTTTCTCAGGGTGCAGTTTGGTGCCCTACCGCCCCCTTTTGGTCAAACTACTCCACTACATTACACAGCAGGTTGAAACTGTTCTATTTGCTGCTTTCTGGTTTAGTTGGTTTAACAAAGTGACAACGCACTTTACTGATTATACTGATTATTAGCTAGTCGATATGTAAACGTGCCACCCTTAGTCATAAAGTCACATTTCCACCAATAGTTATTGGCGGGACGGTATAAAAACAGGATTAAAACATGAATTCATTGTTAATTTACCAAAAATACTAAAACATTAAACAAACAAAGCAAAGAAATAAAAATAAAAACATATATGTTCAATGCTGTAGAATATGCATGTGATCACAGATTAGATACAAGCCTAGTGAAATATTTGAATCATGATTCCAGTGATAAATTATTATATTTGGCTAAAATTCTTCAGTGATGATGATAATAATTAGACTATTTTTTTCAGGTTTCAAAGCCTTTTTCAGTTGATTGTAAATCCTGTCCAAACATTTTATTCGTCTTTGTTTTCCACATAGCTTACTTTGCCACTTCAAAAAGCAAATTAATACAAATAAAATAAATAAATAAAGAGAGAGAGGTGAAGTTCCTAACGCATTACAGCAGGTGGTGGTATGCGCGTGTACATTGACAGCAGCCAGAGAAGAAGGAGAGCAGCGGTTTGTTTTATTTTTTTAATTGTTATTATTATCTAGGTTCCTTAACAAGACGACAAGAGAAGATAGGGTTACTACTGTTATTGTTTTATTATTTTTTGTTTATTTATTTTTAGTTTTAAAATCTGTATCTGTGTAATTTATATTTTAGCATTCGGATCAACTCCATTCCGCCAGTAGATGGCGTGTAATGCGCATCTAAACGTTGCTTGCCAACCGCAAGACAAGAAGAAGAAGAAGAAGAAGAAGCACGATTGCAGCAGACGTGTAAAGGATGTTGTGAGTGTGATGGAAGATGACAGCAGCTGCTGCTCGGTTCTTTCTCAACTTCTGGTCGGCCTTTCGTCCTGTGGTTCGGACCGTTAAAAGCGGAGGTACCAGAGGAATCCGAACCGGAACTCCAGGTCTGTCCGGGCTAACGTAGACTGAAACCGGCCCAATTGTCCTCGCCTTGCTAGTGTGTGTTGAGCTTTAGATGGAGGCGGACGGTGGTCAGACATGTCCCCGCTGATGTAACAGAGACCAAGAGCAGACGGCTGTCTCTGTGTCCGTTTCTGTCTCACCATGTTGTCTTCCTTTGAAGGGAAGCTGATGCGGAGCGGAGACAGCAGGAGGACAGTGGTGAGTCTCCAGAGACCACGTGACTCTGATGCTTTACTGACTTAAACCTGCAACAGCTCTGCCTCTGTCCACTGATTCTAGATCTGTGTTGAGGGAAATATCGCCAGCGGAAAGACAACGTGTCTGGATTATTTCAGCAATACGAGCAACATCCAGGTAAAGTCCATGTTCCAGTCTGTCAAGATTCAGAGGTGGAGGAAGCAGATCCATGTAGAACTGTGTCATTTCCTGTCTGTCCCAGGTCCTGACAGAACCGGTGTCCAAATGGAGGAACGTCCATGGACACAATCTTCTGGTAAATAACAAAATCTTTTGACAGTTCAGTTTATTTAAAGCACGACAAAATACCAAACATGGAACCTCTAAAACGTGTCTTTCTACAAAAACAACAACAACAAAAAAAAAAGTATTTATTTTAAATGGGTACTAAACAAAATGTTTTATATTTGAAAGTATAGGACATTATTCTTAAATGTATTTCTATTTTTAAATTTTAGGGCAAAATGAATTCTTAATTTTTATAAAGGACATGCACTTCATCAATGAGCCCAGTTGATGAGCACTTTCCATAAATATGGAAAGTGAAGACTCAGACAAAAAAAAATAGATACAAAACACACTCACAAAAAAAAAGCACTAAATTACTTAGGATCCATATTAGTGTCGTTCTGTTGCAGATATTCTGTGGTTTATATGAGCCACAGGAGAGGGGCCAAAGAACCACATTTGGCTCTGGAAGCGCAGGTTGTGCAACCAGATTTCGGACCCAAAGAATCTGCAGTGGGGTCACCACTGCAGATTCTTTGGGTCCGAAATCTGGTTGAGTCGGTCCAAAAAGTTAATATCACTTCCAATCAGAAGGAACATGCTGTATGGTGTCATTAAAAGATAACTTTAAACCTAAATCCATCACATGTGAGGCTGACTGATGGTTCAGCTTCAGGAATTTATTTAGGGGTATCATGTTAAAGGGGGGTCTTTCTGCATGGAGTTTGCGTGTTCTCCCTGTGCATGCCTGGGTTCTCTTCAGCTTCCTCCCACAGTCCAAAAACATGACTGTTAAGTCAATTGGTCTCTCTAAATTCTCCCTAGGTGTGAGTGTGTGTTTGCATGGTTGTTTGTCATATCTGTCTCTGTGTTGCCCTGTGATGGACTGGTGACCTGTCCCGGGTGACCCCGCCTCTCGCCTTTGACCGGTGGAGCTAGACACCAGCACCCTTTGCAACTGCCCTAGGGACAAGTGTGTAAGAAAATGGATGGATGGAGATACAGTTTGGAATTTTTAGTCTTTCAAAAATAGAAAATCATGCATAATTTTCTTTCCTCTTAACGTTTATGTGTGCTACCTTGTGTTTGTCTATCACATCAAATCCCAATGCTAAATAAACTGAGCTTTGTTTTTGTAGCAGGAACAACTGTGGAGAACTCTAGAGGGCCTGAAGCTCCTGCAGTGAGTTCTAAGCATGTCCTCTCTGTCTCTGCAGGCCCTGATGTACCAGGATCCTCAGCGCTGGGGAATCTCTTTGCAGACTTATATTCAGCTCACCATGCTGGATAAACACCTGTCAGCCACGGTAAGCTCGCTGTTAGCTGGGAGCCGCTAACTAGGAGCTCTTATGTTGTAGCTGTTAGCCATTAGCTGCTGACTAGGAACTGCTTGCTTGGAGCAGCTAGTTAAGAGCTGTTAATTTGTAGATGCTAGCTAGGAACATGGACTTATAGTTCCAGGTGTTGAGCATGGTGGAAACCTGAGGAACTGTTTCTGGTTTCAGACAGCTCCGGTCACCATGATGGAGAGGTCGATCTTTAGCGCCAAGCACATCTTCGTGGAGAATCTCTACCGGAGGTACCGTTGTGTTTTCACCAGATTCTGGATCTGACCGATAATCAACAAGGCTGCTCTAAAAACTGTGGCCTCCTGGTAGACGACAGTGAACTAGTTCCCAGGTATCCAATGCTGTCACCAGACTGATGGGTCTGTATTCTTCCCTTTCTGTCAGTGGGAAAATGCTAGAGGTGGATTACATTATTCTGAACGAGTGGTTTGATTGGATCACCACAAACGTTTCGCTCCCTGTCAACCTGATTGGTGAGAAGATTGTGTCTGCAAACTGGAACTCTGAGACTCTAAAGTTCTGATGAGTGTTCTGCTTTGCACTGAGGCTTGTTCTCTGACTGGCTCCAGTTTACCTGCAGACGTCTCCTCAGACCTGCTATGAGAGGCTGAAGCAGCGATGCAGAGAGGAGGAGATGGTCATTCCACTGGTAAGGACCTGGCTTCACGCCTCTGGTGCAGACAAAATGCTTTGTGTACGGTATAGCCACCAGCCTCTACTCTGTGTGTGTGCGTGTCCACCAGGAGTATCTGGAGTTCATCCACCAGCTGCATGAAGACTGGCTCATTAAGGGCACCTCCGCTCCAGTTCCTGCTCCTGTTCTGGTGAGTACTGCTGCAGGCGGACCTCTACTGTCCATTCAGCTCCTCCAGCTGAACACTGTGGACCGATGTCCTAGTTAAATCCTGGCAGGCTGAGGTGTGGTGGTTAGCTGGGTCTGCTCTGTGTCCTCCAGGTGATTCCTGCCGACTATGACCTCCAGAAGATGCTGCACAAGTATGAGGAGCACCGAGAGAAGATTCTAGCAGCTACCAACTCTTGATGCACACGCGCGCGCACACACACACACTTGTTACAGGTCAAGCTCTCTAGATGTTTGGAAATTTTTATTTGGGAATTTTCCCAACACTGGATAATTTTGGACCAATAAGCGAAGCAGCTTATTTATATATGAGGACATATATGATGCTTCTTTGCTAAATATATGAAAATTATAGTGGAATCAATTAATTTTGACAATATTTTATTGCAAGAGCCTAATGTCTGTAAAAAACTGTAAGAACTGACCTCCTTGGGTCATGTCCAAACTTAAACTCCAGGGACTTACTTTGGGTAGTCATGGTTACTAACTAGAAGTTTATTGAAATTCTGATAAGCTGAAAAAGTCTAATTAAAGAAACATTTCTGTGATATCAATAATTACGGGATTGTGAGTTTGAATGTTTTGGTACACTCAAACTTTTGTTTGGTACTGTGTTCATTTTGAAGTCATGCTGCTGTAATAAAATACGAGTCATTTAATACTTTCTGCACATCTTTACCATCAGAGCAGTTTGTCTATTTCTGTGTTCTTGTGGATCATCATTAATGTTTATTTTTTAAAAAATATATATACATTCTGATTTGAGTGGAAAATCTTCAAACACACACATAACCTCAGCTTGTGTCAAACATTCCCCTGAAACTGTTTTTTTTAATTAAAATGTTTTTAAAATCCTGAATGGAAGTGGTCCATTTCATGTTTCTGTTTCCATGAGAACCGAGGAAGCCTTCTGGCTTCAGCTGTGAAATGTTTTCAAGACAATTCTTAAAACTGGGGAAGAATTTTTTGTGCTAGTAACCAGGTTGCATGTAGAACCTCAAAATGCAAAGAAATAAAAAGTAGAAACAGGAACCAAAGATAAAACTAAGTAAGCAAATGACTGAAGACTGCATAAAACCAGACAGTGATTGCATTTTCTGTAAGGCATTCTCTCTGTCCTCCCCTCCAGAAGGCAAGCCGCCTGTCTCTTTGTGCATCTCAAAATTTCTGAGTTTTTTTTTTTTTTTTGGTGGAAATTTTTTTCTCTTTTTTAAAAAATTTTTTATGTTGTCATACTAAGTCAAGAAGAAACAAAATAATTTCAGCCGCACTGAGGTGGAGGGGCCAACAGGCCCAGGTTTGGATGGTTCTCAGTAAAATCATCCTTTCAACATAGTTTTATGCACGTAAAATTGGTCCAACATTTAAATTTTTTGATGACATTTGGCCAAGACAAAAACTGCAGAAATTTTTCCGGGTGGGTTCTGGATGTTCACATTAGTTTGTCTTTATGTTTTTATTTCTGATCTCTGTGCAGATCATCCTGATCCTGAAACATTACCAGCATATTTATTTGAACAATAAATCATTATTGCAGTTATTAGAATATTTAAAGCCTGCTCATATCAGACACCCAGCAAAAAATTAAATGGCTCCAACATTCTCTTCTTCAAAAAGCTTAGATTGCTCTGGTTGGCCCCAGTGGCCTGGTGACACACTGCCCATGGCTCTGCATCCGATTGGTTCAAATAGTCATGAAACCAAACGAGGTGGAAAATTAAAAAAGAAAAAAAAAAAAAACTGCTAAATATTTTAAAGCCCTTTAAGGGCCCTCTCAGAGGTTGGTCCTCTGTTTTTGTCTGTCCTTGCGGCCCTCTGCCTTCCCGTCATCCTCTCTTCCCGTTGCCTTCTCTTGATCTCCCTGCACAGAAAGCTGTCCCATCCGCTCCGCCAGCGCTCTCAGCTGCTGCTCTTCATCAATGGAGCTCAACGAGGAAGACTCCGGTTTGTCAGCCACCACATTCTCTAAGCCTGTTGTGAAAACAATAAAAACCTTCTTATTTCAGCTCCAATTCAACCAGCAGTGAGGTTAAAGGGTTAATAGAGGTCATGATGACTTCCTGAAGGTGGAGTTTCAGAAAGAGCAGGAGTTTTTAAAGTGACACTGTAGCTTTCGAAGTCTAATTTCTTTTAAGTCACATTCGATATACACATAATTTTTATAACTCAAGTAACATAGTTGTTTGATTATACTATAAAATAGCACTTTGTGACTGAAATACATAATACTGTCCCTTTGACACTCTCACAGAAGGAGTGTGGGAAATGGTGCAGGCTGATGGCTTGTCCCGTCAGTTTGTCAGTTCCCAAAACTACATACAAAAAAACCTCACTTGTAATAGTGCATGTGGGGTCATTGCATGTAATAGCATGTGGGCCTGCTGGATGCTGTGGGTAAAACACTCAGCATCTAATGGACCCAACAGAAAGCTGGAGAACAAGCTGAACTGGCTCCGTCTCTGGACGGGTTGTTGGGTAAGACAAATCCAAGGCTGCCCTAGCACAATCTAGTGTGGCTAACTGTGTGTGTGTGTGTGTGTGTGTGTGTGTGTGTTTCTTACTTGGTGTTTTCTGTGCATCATCAGAAGTCTCTGAGGTTGGCTGAACTCTTCCTCGTTTCTTGCCTGCCTGTGCTTTGCCTCCTGTCCTCAGTGTGATATGAAGAGAAATGGCTTGAGGACCACTAAGGTCATCATCTCCATCATCATCATCATGGGCTCTGCTTTCATCAGAGTTCCTGAAGCAGCTGGAGTCATTCCAACCATCGTCACCAGTGGAGACTGATGGAGAAACATCTCTGTCCTCTTTGGTCAGGTTGGTCTTTGGAAGCACAGAAGTGCTGTCAGGTACACCGCCGGTCATGGCAGCGGTTGCTTTGGGAGGTTGGTCTGGCAACAGAGGGCGACCCCTGAAGGCCAGGTCTGGGTATTGCCACTGCAGTTCCATGTCTGACTGGTCTACGCTGGGCCGATGACGCCGAGGCTTTGGCTGAGGAACCGATAGAAGCCTGGACTCAGGCTGCTGTGACTCCTGGAAATAAAGGAACAGAACAGAGGTGAAGGTTTTTTTGTTTTTTTTTTAAATTTTAGAAGACGTCAAACCCATCTGGAAGAAATATTCCCCTCATCCCGATTTCGGAACCAGCCTCCAGTCCTACCTCTCTCTTATCCGACTCCTTCCTCTTCTCGTCGTTGTCTTTCCTTTGCTCCGCCACAGTCTGCTTTTCTGTGGGATCTACCAACTTAGAAGGCTGCTTACTTCTCTGGAGAACATCCAACCACTCCTGTAGAATCAGTCCAAATATAAGATCAGGTGTGATTAATCAGTCCACCTGGTTAGGATTCCATGGAATAATCTGTTGAAGGTTGAAGGCAGGAGAACCTGCCACACATTCCCAAGCCCCACTGCCATTGGGAATGTGTGGAATGTGAACAATGTGGTTGCTCTGGCAGGACTAGCTCTCGGACTTCGCCGAGACGAAGACGAGGATGGAAAGCTGAATGCAGCCAAATGGGACGCTGCACTTCAGAAGCCATTTTGATGGAGCTTCTCCGACTCTGTCCAAGTCACAGCAAATCAGTACAGAGACGCTCGCTCTATGCAGTGCTGACACTTAGGGTGGGGAGCAGGTAATTCAAGAATAGAAAAATGGCATCTTGTGTGGGAAATGGAGTCGCTGGCTGCCTTAGTAACGTGAGATTTATCATTACAGGGCACACAATATAGAGTAGAAAAAAAAATTTCAGAAGGGCACGTTTTTTATCCAGAGGAGATAAAAAGGGGGCCAGTACTCTAGCACCACCTAGTGTCTATCTGTACACATCCCTGACTGTAGGGGACACTTCTCTCAGCCATCAGGCACAAAATTATGGTCACTGAAATGGCTTATGTATGTGCATATTAGCATGGGTGATTCTAGACTGGGTCCAACAGGGACCAGTGTCCCTGTAGAACCGGCCCTGGGCCCTTAATCTGAACGGATTAAACTAAACCAATGTTTAAAACTGACATGGAACAGAAACGGTCACTAATTTCTCCCTTGGGCCCATTTTTCCACTTTACTTTTCTCTTAGTTTTTCTTCAACAATGAATCAAAGTGAAGGTGTTGCTATTATTATTATCATTATTGCCCTTTTGACTTCAGTCGAACTGAGACAGGATCCCAGTGGATCTGCTAGATCACGACTCTGAAACCTGCAGCTGCAGCTCTGGACTGGATCCCATCACATGCTGAACATGAGGTATTGATCTTTTGTTGGTTCATTCTTTGGTTCTGTGGTCCCGCCCGGCCCCCTCTGGTAAATCTGCTCTAAAAGAGCCACTGGATAAAAGAAATTCATTTTTGATTTCAGCAGTTAAAATAGTTTTGGTTGTAAATTGTTGTGGTCTAAGTTGTGAAAAAATGTTTTTGTCTCATGCATAAGATTCGTTTGTCTTGCTGCAAAGGATAATTTTTCTGTTGCACCGCTATTATTGTGAGGTTTGGGTGTGAGTATAAGAGGCTGCAAGACTTTAACTGAGCCATTTAGTTGTAATTATTTTATCTGTTAATTTAGAAGACAAAAGACTGTAATATTATTGACTGCGGACATGGGAAGTTTGGATCATCCTGGTCTTGGTGTGTTCTGGCTGGATTTCTCTGGGTGTCGACCTGGAAGCAGATACATCCCATTTCTGACCTGTGGTCCCAGTTGGTGCTCCAGCAGCAGATCCAGGAGGCGACAACATTCCAGTCTGGCCAGCAGCAGCTCAAATCCCAGCAGCAGAGCTCGATCTGCATCAGCATCAGAACTTAGTGTGAACTCACTGAAACACACCAGAGAGCAGAACGTTAACCACAGACTACTCACACTGCACAGAAAAAAGCATGGAATTATGGGAAAATATACTAGAAATATGATTTTTTAAGGTAATTTTACTGCACCTAAATTCTATAGAGTTCATTTACAACAAAAGATAGCAAAATAAAAATACTTAATTGGTCCAAATGAAGTTGCATCCAGTCCTGTTCAGCTAGAGTTAACACAAATATAAAACTAACCATGTGTGTGTTGCTCAGCGCTGCAGAAGCTGATAGAGATAATTTTTCTAAATTTGTTCTAATGCCATCACCTGAAGTTAACCCAACCTGTTCCAACTGTTCAGCAGCATTCTGACATACAGGCCTGTCACAATACGCAAATGAATCAATTAATCATGTGATAAATTAAAACAAGCTCAATAATTTACACTTGCATGATTTAGAATTTTCCTCTTTTCTCTCTGCCAAAAACTGGATGAAAAACAGTCTTTGGTCTGGTGCATTGGTCTCAACTACTGCTTTTTTTACAGGACAATATTGTTTACATACATTTCATAATTCATTTTATTTGTTGTTTCTATTGTTTTGTTTTGTTTTTTATTTTGGATATTTAAAATCCTCTTTGAGAACATGTTCTTGCATTGCATTATTGTGCCATTACTTGAAAATGATCTCAAAGTAACAATATTATTGTTTACCGCAACACCTTCTGGGACAATTTATCGTCTTTTACTTCATATAATGGATCATTCCATTCATTTAATAACTTTATTTTCTTATAATATCTGGGGATTATTTTAGACACCATTAAACAAAAGCCTTCCTTCCTTAGCAGATATCAGTACAATTGTCAAAAAGGATGAAAAGCATCTAAAAATACCACGTACTGAAAATACTATTCAGAAAACGCTAACTAGAAATCATTTTTTCCACCATCGTTTTGGCGCCCGCTCTGACGTGGAGCCCCCTTGTGTCGCATTTGGTGCAAACACATTGTAATTATACATGATCTTATTGGCTGATCAGATCAGCCACAAGCTGACAAAAACAACTGGAGATTTCTAAAGATAACAAGTTCAAGCTACTACTTTCAGTTTCCTGTTTGGATGAAGACGTGAGCAGTGATGCAGCTGTGTAGGTTCTAGCAACAAGCAGCAGACACAAACAGCTGAAGCTCAGCTACTGTTCATGATGCACAATAAAAGCCTCATGAAGAGAACCCAACGCTGAGCTGCTGGAGTTCAGGCAGCAGAGACCGAGTGTTAAGAGGAAGAACAGGAGGAAACAAGATGGCTACAAGGATGCCTTACACCTGCAGCATTTCTAGCGGGTGTGTGTTGTTTGTGTCGTCACCTCTGGGGGGCGTCGCTGCTGGGCCGGTAGCCCATACAGGCCAGAACAGCCTGGATAGTGGAGCTGCTGAGAACCGGCAGCAGGCAGTAAACGAAGGCACCCGTGAACGTCTGGAACAAACAGAAAAAAAAAAAAAGAAAAAAAAAACGGGAGTTCAGAACCTCTGGGATGTGACGTACAGCACTGTGCACAAGTTTTCACTCCCCATCACAGGAATGTTCAACCCACAAACCTTTTTTTGAATATTTTATTATACATTTTATTAATCCCAGAGGGAAATTCATATTTTGTCATTTTTTTCTATAAATGAAACTGAAAAGTGTAGCGTGCTCATTTGTATTCCCTCCAGAATAGGTTCTCTAAATTTAGCTTTTTTTTTCTTTTTTCTTTTCTTAAAATCTTCCCCACATATCTTCAGTTACATTTAGGTCTGGACTTTGACTAGGCCATTCTAACAATTGGATATGCTCTGATGTCCCATTGAAGCTGTGCCTGTATGTTTAGAGCTGCTGTACTGATGGAAGATGAGGCTCTGACCCAGTTTTCACCTAATATAACTTGTTGCATGTTGGTCAAACTTTTCCATTTTAGTTTGATCTGAGTGGGTCCCCAACATGACTCAGAGCAGCAGCTGATCCATGTTCTCTCCATAGTCAGATGATGGGATTAACTCTGGGAGATGTTCAGAGTTTGGAAAGTTGCTATAGAAGATATTCTGCTTTAAATGTCTCCAGTACCTTCTGCCTGCGTGGTTCCACTTTGCTCTCAATATACAGATACTTTAAGAGGCAGTATTATGTATCTTCCAGACAAATAGTGCAATCGATCAAATGTGACTGTGAAATTGAACCTCTGTCTCTTTAAAGACTTCTTGCTCTTTCTGAAACTGTCTTTCAGAAGGTCATCACAATAGTGCTGCTCTGTTAGCAGCAGGTGTGCAGTTCCACCAGGTGTTTGCTAGTTGCTGCTGGCTAGTCTGAAGGAGCCGTGAGGGAGAGTGCCAGAGGACGGCTGCTCTGTGAGGCAGAAGCACATAAGCTTGGAAACTGCAGCTCCAAGGAGGAGCTGCATCTTGGAGGCGGGGCTAGTTCCACCCAGGTGTTTTCCACAAATGAATGGTTGCCATAGAGATTAAAAGAGTCTTCAAACATGCAGGAAAGAATCAAGACAACACTCCAGGTATGTTTTTGAAGAGGGAATAACATTACAACGTGATGTAAAGCTCAAAAAGTCAATTTTATATGATAGTGCCCCTTTAAAATAAAATTGGTAGCAAATAAGACTGATCTGTGTGTATATTATTTTTACAAAAATAGAAGACAAGATATAATCGACATGTCTGTTACTGACTGGCTGAATTCTGAAGGGGTCTGGCTTTATAAAATTGTATGTGGAGGTATCTGAGTAAAGGGGGCTGAGTTCATATTTTCAACCAGTGAGAAGCCACGTGACAAATTACCTCGCTTCAACATTTCCTCAAGTTTCTCCTGAATTATTTATGTTAAAAAGTTAAAAAAGAAAAAAAAAAGAAAAAAAGAAAAGAAAAATCTCACAGAAGCTTTCAGGACCGTCCAAGCTGGACTGTTGCAGGTGAGAGCGCACCTTCAGAGACCGGATCTCCTTCTTCCAGGGCTGCAGGAACATGTTGATGCAGAGGCTCTCCAGCATCTCAGTGGCTTTGATGAAGGCTGCCAGGTGCTTCCTGCCGTCGGTGCCGACAACACACCTCTCCGTCACCGCCTGGCAGAACGGGAATAGCGTGAAAGTGTCTCTCAGCTCCGACGTCCTCAGCAGGAACTGGGCCGCCCTCTTCAGAAGCCCGGGGTCCCGACACGGCCGAACCTCGGCTCCGGGGCGGAGGAAGCAGCTCCGGTAGTCTTCAAAGAGATCCCGGCGGGACAACGAGCCCTCCTGCTCTTCGTCCTTCATGACCGACAGGCGGCTGGAGAGAGAGAGACGGGTTGCTGAGGAGGAAGTGGAGCTGCCTCAACAGAAGAGGAAGCGAAAGTCAGCGCGTGTGTTTTCTCCTGCTGTCAAAGTGATAGAACAGAACAGAATATACTTTATTGCAGCTTTACGCGGTGACCAAACACACAAATAAGCCATATTCGCAACGCGAGAGCCCCGCTCTTGTTTTAACTAGCCTGATTGTGGGCAGCAGGTGGTGTCCCACAATAACTGGTCAAACATGTTTTTTCTTCACGATTAATAAGTGAATTTTGTTATTGGGAAATACCCGTGTGATTATTTTTGTCTTTTACATGATCAAAAACAAAGATACCGTACTGTTTCCTTCTGTCCCTTTTCTATGATCGATAGTTCATCAAATGCCATGTGGCCACATGAGTTATATTTAAAAACTGTTAAGACTTTGACATTAAATTCCAGTGTGTTCCTACCTTCTGATAACAGCTATCAGCATGTGGCACCGTGTTACGCCCTGCTTACGTCACAACCAGCAATGAAGTGATCTAAAATGTCAGAGCCAATTAATTAAGGGTTACAGAAGCAACAGCGCCCCCCTGCGGTCACAATATCCTAAATTTGGAAAAATAATCGAACTTTTCACCACCTGTAGAGCAGAAGATGCGAGAAGGCTTCATCCAGAAGAATGACGACGAATGAAATAGTTTCTTTTTTTTCAACCTGTTGTTTAGTGTGTTCACCCAGTAACGTCACTAACTGTTGTTTGCTGTGGCAATCAGCTTTTGATGGCCGGCGGAGCGCAAAACCATTTTTTCATTCTTAATAATTAGGGAACGATGTTGTGCAACACCGAGTACGTGCAGCACCCTATGTAGTGCACACTTGAACAAATCGGGATTTCTTTTGACCATCTCTGTATTGAAATCTGTCCCTCTTTAGACTAATCAGACATGAACACTTCATAGACATTTTTTAAGATATAGTCACAGATTTATAAAATATTTACTGTCTCGAAAAACACAAACAAAAAAGACTATTATTAATGCTTTTTTTTTTTTTTTTTTACATTAGCATATTTTAGATCAGAGGTTCCCAAACTGTGGGGCGCGCCCCCTAAGGGGGGCGCCGTGTCATTGCAGGGGGGGCGCGGGAAGCCGTCTGGATGACAAAACAAAACAAAACATGAACACTGTATGCGCTGGGTTTTTACCCAACTCTCTGTTATTCCTATGTCAATTTGATACAGTAGAGGCTTCCACACTTCCCATATTTGTGTCCTCTGTCACTTTTATCAGCAGTTAAAACTGTTTAATCCGTTGTTAACATGTTGTAACCTGTTTTTCCGAGCCGCCTTTAAACGCAACATGAGCGCTACGACGCTCGCGCTGGGTTTACACCTGTGAAGGAGACCTGCTGCTGCTGTGCGGAGCGACGTAGGTTTATGTTAGAATCACGGCAGCAAACCAGCAAAACGCAAAGAACTTTTCTCAGTTTTTCCTCTCCAAACTAACCGACTGAGTTGAGTAAAGCTGTTGGATGCAGGTAATGTTAGCTAAAAGATGACTAGTTAATATTAATACAGAACCTTAAGCTTAACAAGTACCTTGTAGGCTACCGATGTTGGTGTCTATTTTTCAGCTACGTACATTCTTTTTGCCCCCAAAAAAGTCGATGTCCCCCCCAACTCCCGTCACAGGCGTCGTTTCAACCTGACAGCCATTTGTAATCCTTCTCATTTACTGAATGGGTCAGTATATTTGCATTTTATCAAATTTAACTGATTTTTAAAAAATGAAAACTAAAATATTTCTTGAGCACATTTAGTCAAAGATATTCCACCGTGTGTCAATTCCTGTCATTCCAAACTCCTGTCAGGAATTTTTATTTTGAAATTCCTGACAGGATGTACGTCATATACTGCGTTTCATTCGTGCTCGGAAAGCAGAACTTTCGGCGTTCATGAACGCTGCAGGGAAGTAACTTACTCCAGGTCGGCAGTTTGTCACCCACATTGAGCTCGCGCCCCAGTCCTGTCTCCTACTGTCAGTAACAGTATCACCAGAGTATGTGAGTACAGAATATGTAGAACAGTATAAGAAATTATCCTACTCACTGTCCTCAACTTTTAACGTCTGGACGGGTCAGACCGTTGTAGTCTGATTTCCGAGGTACATGGAATGCAGCATTGGTTTTGTTTCCGGGTGTGTGGAGTCGCGGGGCTCACGTTTCGATCATGATATTCTGAAGCTGAACACCAGATGAGTTTTGCATCTTCGAGCTGAAGAGCAGTTCTCCCGGACTTCGGCGTTGTTCCCATGGTGACAGGAGCAGGACTCCTCCAGGAGGCTACAGCAACAAGAAGCCCGCGTGGTTTTGTTCCAGTAAGAACAGAGCCATGAAATGTTGAAGCCATGAAATGTTGAAGCTTTAGTGAATCATGCTGTGTGAGAGGTTCAGAGAAGGTCTAGCCAGAACTAGGACAATACATATTATTTTTACAATTATGATGATGATGATTATTATTATCATCATTTAGAACTACAGTTTTATACAGAACCAGCAAAGAGGCCCAACCAAGTCCTAAGTCCAGATGCTGGTCAGAACATGAACTTACTGCTCTGATGTCAAATCCTGGTTTCCAGACAAACTGAACGTTTGGTTTTCTTTCATCGTAAGACAGACAACATCGTCCAAATCTACAGAAATAAATAAAAAAATAAACTTTTATTTATAGTTTGGAACCACTCCATCACAGGAAGTTCATCACTCTGACTGATTCTCAGCAGGTAAATAAAGCAGGTTTTAGTCTGGTCCTTACTCTGCGTTTCTCCTCCAGGCTCACATCTTCTCCAGACCAAGATGAAGAACCGAGGCGGAGGCTGGCTGGACTCTCGACTTAAACAAAGAGTGGAGCAGGTCCAAGTCCTGAAATGTGTCACTCAGATCAGTCACAGAAAGGACAGAAAATCGACCCATCCAATTCAGAAAGCTCCCACACAAAACCTTAACTAGAAGCACATGAGAAAAAAAAGGATGCAGAAAGGAGTTAAAGACAGAAATGCTGGACCTGGAATGTGTGTTATGTGAAAGGAAAACACGCTCTGAGTGGCTCAGTCCACTCTACCAGAGTAGAGAGGAAACCCATTCAGGCACACATAGAACATCCAACCCCTCATAGGCAGTACCAGGAACACCATGACTAGAACATTAAGAGTAAGACCAGTGGGTGGATTGACGCTCTGCTCACAAGTTAGGGATGTGAACAGTAATAACAGCTGGTACAGTCCGGACCACACTGGGGTATCCAAAGCTCCTGTTTGAAAAGCAGACATTTTGTGGCATTTGTTGTTCTGATGTGTCAAGAAATGTTCTGGATTTCTCCAGACAAACTGGAGTCCTTGAGGGTCAGAGTCCTTTTATAACTTCTAGACCCCAACAGCTGAACACCAACTATAAAGTCTTAAAAAAATGCAAACATTTTAAAAATACTTTTAAAATTTTTTTAAATGCTTAGCCTGGTGTGGGCACAAGTAAAGCCTGCTGGCCCACCAGGCTTATAAAACACTGGGGGAATCCCTACAGTAGACTCAGTTCGATTGGAAGCTAAAATTGCGACATTTGCTGCATTTTCAGCTGGTAAGGTTCGCAATCACACCTCCAAACAATCCAAAGTAATTGGAAAATGAGTTCCTCTCCTCACCTGTGGTGGCACTGCACCAAGAACCACTGAAGGAAGGAACACAAAGCCTCTGTAGAAGACATTAAACTTCCTTCTTCACAAGATGTAAACAAAAATGGAGTAGCATCACATTTTATTGTTGTAGGATTTCTCTTTTGTTTTTGGTAAAAGTCCATGAGCCACTTCTCCCAGTAGTTCTAGACTCACGTGTTTGTTTTGGCTCTCTTTACCCAGAATGCCCGTGTTCTAGTTCCCTTCCTCCTTTTGGAGCGATCTCTGGTTCGCTTGGCGTCCACATAGGCTTTCGAACAGCCTTAGAGTTCACTTCAACTGAACCGAGACCTAGGAAAAGTACATGAGAAAACCATGCAGTTCTCCTCACTTTCAGTTGACCTGTGTTTTCAGTACCTGGCCTCGAGCAGCAGTCAATATGTTGACCTGGCAGAGATGGCCCTGGACCTTCAAAAACAGTACAGGTGAGGATGCTCAGCTAATCTGATCTGAACTCTTCATAATTTCGCTAAGGTTGGATTACCATTGTTTAATTTAACAGTAATGACGGCTTTACAGTTGAAAAGCTCAGTCCCATCAGAGTTGAAGACCTTCGTTTGCACTGCCTCAGAATGGGCCTCTGCATGTTAGAACCGTAGTTTCTGAACTACCTGCTACCTGGACTGGTCAGCAGCTGAAACTGTTGATTCTGCTTTTAGAGTGGAGTATGGCAGAAGGAACAAGACAGCGTTCAGGATCCAGGTGGAGAAAGGTAGAAGGAAAAACCACAGCATGGTTTTCAGACTGATTATGCTTTAACAGCGATTTAACAGCAGAGTTATGAACTGATCACACACGCAAAGTCTCAAGATGAAGAGCTGTAATTCCTCCTGTCTGCATGCCTGTTGAAGTGTACGATGCAGTGAAAGAGGACGCGGACCTGAACGACCTGGAGAGCAAACACCTGGCTAAGAGAGCCAGGAGCAGCTGCAATGAAACTGGGTAACTGCACATCTCACACACCAATTTCTGTTTTTCTCTAATTATTTCGTACAAATAAGTAAAACAAAAATCCAGAAAGCAAGAATACATACATGAATATATTGAAACACAAACACAAAAAAAAACATGTTTTGCAACATGAACAAGTCATTTTAGCTCATCATACCTGTCCAAAAGGGACAAGTAGGAGTCATGAAACACAACTGGTCAAACACAACTACGAATACCTGAGAGTTCCTCTAGAAATGCTTAAAACTGCCTATTTTAATTGTTCAAATTCCAAATACATCTTAATAGGCATAAATACACACAGTGGAAACAGTCTTATTCTACAGCAGAAGCTAGTATCTACAGCCATCCTTATCCCCTGCTTCTGGGGGTACAGCCAATCAGCACTAAGGAAAATGAATGGTGCTCCCGGATAGGCTGCTATGCAGAGTAGCTTGGTTCATAGATAGTTCAGGTTCCCACACTGCATTTCTGTAGAATATTTTGGAAGAAATGCTCAAAAAGCCATCCAATGCAAACTGCCTGTTGATGCTGATTGTGTTCCCATTGTCCTGATTTTGAATTGACTGTATCAGTTCTGTATGAAAATGTTTGTATCCTCAACTAAAGGTTGGGGTCACAAATTTATAATTTTATTTTTTGGATCAGAATCTAGAAAGTTAGGGAAGCACTTGGCGTAGACCTGCCACTGGCGTAGAAGACCTGCCACTGGGGTAGACAATGTGTTCCTAAGCAATAGTAGATGTTAGGAGGAAGTTATCTGCAGCCAACGCAGGCCTTATAAAAGTCTCCCTAATGTTTCCACTGTGGTTACATTGTGCTGGGATTAGTTCTGGACTTACTGGGAAAATTCTCTGACTTCAGACTGAGTTTATTCCTGCCTGTGTGTTTGCAGGGACGGCAGCAGCTCAGACGAGTCATCAGAAAGCGATCAACAGGTTCTGGGCAACACGGTAATACATTGCTGAGAAGTTTTGAACACATAATCAGCTGTCCTGACCAAGTTTGTGTCTATATGCAGTAGACCAGCTCATCCAGCTGACCTTCCGTATGAGAGAGGAGCTAATTTGCTTCTACTGGACTTCAGGGATGGATAAAATCACATATAGCGAGGCGTTAGCAGTGTTACCTGGAAATTCACTCATCAGAACTATGTAGCCAACTTCTAGTCTCCAGTTCTGTATACCTTTAACTTGTTGATACCGATTTGAACCGACTCTGATATCTATGATACAGGAAGTGGTTAGGACTGCCTTCCTGTCACTGCGAATTATTTCTCTACCTTTTGAGCAGAGGCAATATCACACCACATATGTGTGACAGCAGTAAAACTGTGTTTTATCGTTTCATATCATAGACAATCTGATTTACAGTTAGCATTTCAAAAAGTGTTTAGCGTCTTATATTAGCGGTCAGCAAAGCTGTCTTTACTAAATCAGTCTTCTCTGGTAGTAATTCTCAGAGAACTTTAAAACGTACATTATCCCTAAGTTTTCCTAAAGACTAGTGCCAACATTTCCAAAGGTGTACATGTTTAAATCTCTGAATGTTAAACTAGATCAGCCTTATTATGGTGCACTCACTTCCATTCAGTTAGTTTATGTCCCGCCTGCTGTCATCCCAGGACTCTTTGACAAACGGATCTAATTCCCGTCTCCAATCAGTCCAACCATACATTACTTTGCCTAGAATCCATCATCCTTCTTATCCAAGTGTTTCCTACAGTCTCTTGTTTAAACGTGGAATCGGATGTTCTTGTGTTTTCATCCACAGCCCAACAGCTCTGTCACGGCACTGTACCGTAAGGGCCCTCCAGCAGCCAGCATGACCAACCCAGTTCCAGATGAAGGGACCCTGGTTTCCCCTGGAGGCTGGTTCATCGATAAGGGCAGAGGCCCTGCCACCAAGCCTGTCTTCATCGACCTCAGTAAAGACGAGTCGGTCGATACGGAAACCAATGTAAGTGAGAGCAGATGCCCTGAGGGCTCCCCTGGAGGTCTGGGGGCCCTGGTGCTCAGGGTCAATCAGTTGTTTTTAGGGAGAACAAATCAGACTGCTGTAGATCAGACGGAGACAAACATCATCAACAAACACTGAGAGCAAGTGATGAAATATCAGGATATTCTGAGAAGCAGAAGTTCTAAAATCCAGAATTGGATCATTTTTTAATCAAAGGAGCATTATTTAATTCATTATTTAATTTATTATTTGATGTTATTCCCTCATCAAAAACTGGGTTGTTGCTTTGACTTTTTTGTGAATGTTTGAGAAATCCTTTAATCTTGATGGCAACCATTCAGCTGTGCAAAACCTTCTCAGTTCCTGAGCTTCCACCTCACAGAGCAGCCCTCCCCCACTCAGCTCCTGCAGACTAGCCAGCAGCAATTAGTAAACACCTGGTGGAACTGCGTACCAGCTGAGCTCATTATACGAGCTACTTATGAGTGAAAAACTGGTAAAAACATTAAGGGTTAATAGAGGAGTCATGTTGTGATGACTTTCTGAAAGCAGGGTTTCAGAAAGCAGAGAGACGGAGGCCCAATCTTCATCTGGATCCCAGTTCTTAATGGTGGGGTCTGATTGGGGGACATGTCAGGAACACTTCAGGTTCCAGGTTAGATTCCACAGTAAAAGGAAACTTGGTTCTGAAACACACCTGTGGCCGATGCAGGGATGCTTTGGGTGGGTGATGGGAAGTGGCTCTGAGAAGGTAAAGAAAACTGAGCAAGCAGTGTGTGTTAGATTGACCTCCTGCTGTGTTCATGCCCCCGGCAGAGAGGTGCGTCCCACCTGGAGCCGGAGACCACTCAGAAGAAATCAAAGAAAAGGGCAAAGAGCTCGGCCGAGTATCGCAACGCAGACAAGAAAGGTACAAGCTAACCTGACTGATGGTGGCAGCATGATGCTTCTCACCCAGCTACAACATTTACACACTTATGTTATGAGGTGTGTCAATACTTCACTTTATCTTGGAATGTGTGGCTTGTTTTGTTAGATGTAAATATTTATTTCTTTTTAATTTCTCAGCCAAGTCCAAGTCTCCAGAGCTGCAGTTCCCCTATCTGAGGTTTGAGGATGTGGGGGGGAATGAGGAGATCCTGACGGTCAGTAACCCCCTCTTCCCCTCCTCTCCTTCAGCAGGGCTTCTGCTCTCCTTAACCTCATCATGGCTGTCATGTTGTACTGCAGGAGGTGTGTAAGCTGCTGGTCCATATGCGCCACCCTGAGGTGTACCAGCATCTGGGGATGGTTCCTCCCAGGGGCTTCCTCCTGCATGGGCCTCCCGGCTGTGGAAAGACCCTGCTGGCCCAGGCTGTGGCGGGGGTGAGCTCAGCACCAGGTGTATTGTTAGAACATCACCTTCCTCAAATAATCGTCTCGGTCACTTGTCAAACTCAAGGCCAAATCTGGTCCACTGTAGCTTTTTATGTGGCCCTCTAGACTCCAAATTACATCAATAAGTCTCTCCAGTTTTTTTCAAATCTGCAAAATTCAATCAAAATAAACAGCTTCATAAAAAAATTTCTGATTTTACTGCAAATCTTTCTCAAAATTGGTCAAAAACATTGGGTTTAAAATCACTTTTAACAACACACATTAGGGCAAATATTGTAAAAGTTCCTTGCAAACATTTCTAAATTAGAATCACAAAATCTATGATTTTGATTGCAAAAAAAAAAAAAATCCTGGAAGGACAGCTATTTATTAATATTTTAACAGTTTAATGGGTTTTATCAATACATTCTGGCACAACCGGCCCTTTAAGAACATTCAGATTTTTGATGTGGCCCAAAATGAAACTGAGTTTGACACTCAGTCTCAAACTGAGAGTCAGACTAGGCCGTTATTTTGGAAGGTGACCATAGACACGTCGAATGTTATTGTTTACACCCAGGAATTTTGCGCTTGCGCACAAGGCTGGAAGGCAAAAAGACTATTCTTTTACTTGCTATCCATTGCTGTGTTGCTGCGGTAGAACAACTCCGTTAACAAAATGAAACCTGGAGATGTAGGTATTATTAATTCAGTGCGGTGCGTCACAGCAAAGGGAAAAATAACGCAGAAAAAATGTTGAAGAATAACTCAAAACCACTTGTGTTCTTTTTTCTTTCTGTCTGCGTTGACTGTGCTACACACAGACTCGTTGCCATAGCAACTGACAACAATGCCACTGATTTATTGGGAATCAACACCAACAAACACTCAAACATTTCCCTCACAAAGAACAGAACATTCAGTCCATTATAGTTTTATGTTTTCAGGCTTGATGTTTATTTTGCAATTATTATTAATAAGTGATATACGAACACAGTGGTGGTAGATCAGCTCATTTAAATACCTGCTGACTGTTCCAGGAGCTGCAGATCCCCATGCTGAAGGTGTCCGCTCCAGAGCTGGTGTCCGGCGTGTCCGGAGAGTCGGAGCAAAAGCTGAGGGAGCTGTTTGACATAGCCGTGGTCAGTCCCCTGCAGGAACTGCACAGCCGGTGACCTCTGACCTCTGACCTCCACTCACTCCTCTGTCTTCGTCTGCAGACCTCCAGTCCATGCATTGTGTTCATAGATGAGATAGACGCCATCACGCCTAAAAGAGAGGTGGCTTCTAAAGACATGGAGCGGAGGATCGTAGCCCAACTGCTGACCTGCATGGACGGTACGATGCTGGCTTCCTTCTGTAAATGTAGAGCCAGTTCAGAACGATGACATAAATGTACTAAAAAATATTTATTTGATAATAAATAAATTATTATATTCTACCAGCTAATACTTTTGAATATAGTTCTAAAAATAAATGCAGGGATTTAATAGTTTTTAACTCTCTTGTTATAGAATAATTGTATTTCATTTCCACAATGCAGCTGGTTCTCTAATGAATGATTAGATTTATTATGCTAACATAACATCAGGCAAGTATAGGATTAGCAGGTTGGTTTGTTATCTGAAGTCAGGTGAGGGTCCTCATATAGAGTTTAGGTCAGGCATCCTGTGTATACTCCTTGAAGGTTAAAGTTAGACAGCAGATGAAGCTTTGACGCTCAGCATCCTCCATGATGCTTCCTGCTGAAAACATTCCAAGCCTGCTGGTAAGGGGCGCTACAGTCATCCTGCAGGCCACCAGGTTTTTGAGTTAAAAAATGCTTCAAATTGACAGAAAATTTCAAAATGCCTCTTGGTAATTACCAAGAGGCATTTTGAAATTTTCTGTGTTATTGGAAGACGTTATTAACTATATCTAAATGCCAACTATAAAGTCTTAAAAAAAAAGCCAAACAGTAAAAAAAATAAAAAATAAAATCTAAAATAAATAAGCCGGTGTATTGTAGGTCTACCAGGCCTATGATACACTGTGGAAACCTTCATGCTTTCTGTTCCCTTCCTTCCTCTAGACCTCAACAGCCTGACTGTGACAGCTCAGGTTCTGGTGATCGGCGCCACCAACAGGCCTGACTCATTGGACCCGGCCCTGCGGAGAGCCGGACGCTTCGACAGAGAGATCTGCCTGGGAATCCCCGATGAGGCCGCTCGGCTCGGGTAACAACCTGGCAACCAAGAGGCGGACTGGCAGCCGATTGGCTGATCTCCTTCATGATGGTGTGATGCTTTTTTTTTTTTTTGCTCTGCCAGGATCCTGAAGACATTGTGCAGGAAGCTGACGCTGCCGGAGGGCTTCGACTACCAGCTGCTGGCTCGGCTGACGCCGGGCTACGTGGGTGCCGACCTCATGGCTCTGTGCCGGGAAGCCGCAATGGCCGCGGTGAACCGGGTTCTGCTGGAAACCAGGCCGGCGCCTCCCACTCCGCCACAGAACTCTGCTGCAGAACCATCCGGAAGCACAGAGCCTGAGGCTGGAGGGGAAAAGCAGCAGGTAGAGGTAAGGCTGTCACAATGAGCGATAAATCAGTTAATCACACAATTAGCTAGAACAAGCTCACTAATTTCCATTTGCATTATTTATTGTTTTTCTTTTTTTCTCTCTATTCCTACCAAAAACGGGATATTTAAAATCTTTGAGAATGTGTTCTTGCATCTTACAATTCTGGTTTAGACCAACTTAAAATACTGAAAACTTTTGTCATCCAGTTTTTGGTAGAATGAAAAATAAAAACAATAAATCATGCAAATGGAAATTATTGAGATCGTTTTAATTTTTCATGCATTTATATGATTTATTTCTTATTGTGACAGGACAAAGTATTTTTCTTTCAATAACAAGTTCTTAAAAAGTTGTAAGCAACTTTTGGCCAAGGAGTCAGGTCATTTAAAACAGCAGCTGTGCAAAACCCTGGTTATATTTTCAATTGACAGTTATTTACATATTTTGTTTTTTATTAAAACATCGTCTATATTCAGTGTATTGTTGAAGACATAAAAACGCCAAAAGTGTTAAGAAACAAATGTGGCCCTTGACTGCCCTCAATGTGACATTTTTGCCCATAATGACATAAAGTTTGAGGTTGCGCTCTAACATCTGCTTGTGTCCTCCAGCCGGGGGAACTGGGTCGGCTGCTGGACCTGCTGAGGGCCACAGAGACACTGACGGAGCAGCAGCTGGCCGGCCTGTCCATCCTCATGTCCGACTTCCGGGACGCGCTGGTCCGAGTCCAGCCCTCGGCCAAGAGGGAGGGCTTCGCCACGGTGCCAGACGTCACCTGGGAGAACGTTGGAGCGCTGCAGAACATCAGGGAGGAGCTAACCATGGCCATACTGGTAAACAGCAACCGGACCAGTACAGAGCCCAATGAGCTGCTGCAGTTTGTTACTGGGACGTCCTCCACTAAGGGCATTATCGTTCAACTTAAAGTCCAAAAAAAGCAAACTGTGGTAAATTGTACAAAATACAGATATTAGGATCATAAAAGAGGTCAAAGTAACAGTACAGTACTCTGCTCAAAAACTTTTCAACAAAAACATGAACTCAAACTGAGACAGAGAGGAAACTGATCAGCCCAACACCTAAAAACCTAACTGAAACTAACAACAATACAAAGACCCTCCATGATCCTAAGTGGTGGTTTGACCCAGTCTGCCGGTTGTTTTGACCCGTTGGTTCTGACCCATTGGTTTTGCTGTGTCCTGCAGGCTCCGGTCCGCTCCCCAGAGCAGTTTAGGGCTCTGGGCCTCAGCGCTCCGTCTGGGGTCCTGCTGGCTGGACCCCCAGGCTGTGGGAAGACCCTGCTGGCCAAGGTTGGTGGTACAAGTCCTGCCATGTTTGACGTGTGTGAAGCTGTTTGGTGAGGTCATTTCCTCTTCCTGTTCTCTCTCTCTCTCGCTCTCTGCAGGCTGTGGCCAATGAGTCAGGTCTCAACTTCATCTCAGTGAAAGGTCCAGAGCTGCTCAACATGGTCAGTGTGGGACTCAGAGGAGCTTGATGCTGTGCTGTTACTGTGACAACCAGCTGTTGTAGATATAAAAAAAAAAGGAAGAGTACGTTTTTGCCACAAAAAAAAAAAAAAAAAAACCGCAGAGATTTTGAGATTAATCTGAGAAATTTTCTAGAAAATTCATGGAAATTTATGAGTTTTAGCAATGTTTTTACTTTTCAAGTCTGTATTATTAGAAAATTCCCCCCTTCCCCAGTCGTATGTTGCTGACCTCTGACCCCCGTGGTGTGTACAGTACGTGGGGGAGAGCGAGCGGGCCGTGCGACAGGTCTTCCAGAGAGGGAGCAACTCGGCTCCTTGCGTCATCTTCTTCGATGAGATCGACGCTCTGTGTCCTCGCCGGTCAGGCCATGAGGTGAGGAAGAGGAGCTAACTTACCATCATCATCATCATCATCATCATCACAGCAGCTGGGAGGAAACTGAATCATTTGGTTTCTTACCTGAAAATGTTACCGTGTAGCTTTCTGCCTGGACCGTGACGTCTCAGCAGGAGTCGGTGGTTATGTCTCATGAATGCTAAGCTAGCTCATAGCTGTTCAGAACTTCACTTTCTCCTTTCTGTCAGCAAACAGCTTTAGAAGACTGTTTATGTTGCACGTGTATGATCTGTTCTCTGCTGCCGTGTTGCTGACGGACGTTGCCTGTGTTCAGTCAGGAGCCAGTGTGCGGGTCGTTAATCAGCTGCTGACGGAGATGGATGGCCTGGAGACACGGAGACAGGTCTTCATCATGGCTGCCACCAACAGGCCGGGTACGCTGCTCCTTCCATCATGGGTCCAGGTCGGCCTCAGGCCTTAGTGCTGAAGGAAGTGGATAACTATCTAGTATCACCATCTGTACAGCACATACGCTATGCAGAGGTCAAGGGTTATGACCCAGTAACATTACTTCATCTCATGTTACACCATGCAGACGTTCAGTCTGCACTGATGAAGATTCACTTGTTCATTCTCTACTGGAAGGCGCTTGACTGCATATGGAACAAAGAGCTTTACACTAAGGTTATTGCAGTTAACTAAAACAAATGAAATTGATGTTCCACAAAATGAACTTAATTTCTTCAGACTGAGCCCCACATGGTGCAGGTTGTTTGTGTGTCTTAGTTTCGGTCTGTGCCTTAGCTGGAGGAAGTAGGTAGAAAGATGTTAAGCAATGTTCCTTTCCTGCTGTTTTAACCTGCAAACCGTGTTTTGTTTTTTTCCAGATATCATTGACCCGGCCATCCTGAGGCCAGGGCGTCTAGATAAGACCTTATATGTTGGGCTCCCGTGTGCGGCAGATCGTCACGCCATCCTGCTCACCATTACTAAGGTAATCTGACTTAACAGGAGATGCAGAGCATCTCCAAGACGACTGATGACCAGCTGCACTGAGGACAGCACGGCCAGCTGACGTGTTTCTCAGACAACTTGGTTTAATTGCTGGAAGACAGTTTAAAATAAAACATTTAAGTGGGAAATAAACAAAAAACAAAGAAACCTCCAGTAGGATCCAATACCTTGTCTGTTAAAGTGTTCACAATATGTCAGATCAAACCTATAACATTTAATGTTTTAGATTGTAGTTTTATGAGGCAGCAGCACAAAACAGACCACGATGGTGAAGCTGAATGAAAACAACACATTGTTTTCTATTGTTCTGTTTTTTATGCAAACTAGATTCCCGATGCTGTTGGACTGCTGGGGTCTAGAACCTTTCAACACTAAACTACAGATTAGTGTTGTTGTCTTGGAGATTTGCATCAGAATGTTTGGTTCTCTGTGGTTCCTCAGCTGTTTTCTGTCTGCTGCAGGGCGGCACCAGGCCTCAGTTGGAGCAAGACGTCCGTCTGGAGGAGATTGCTTTTGACGAACGCTGCAACTCCTTTTCGTAAGTTCCTGCTGCGTGAAGAACCACCCTTCCTGCACCGGCTGTCAATCTGTCAGAAGATTCGTTCAGATCAGGTTTTCCTGAAAACTTTTGCTTTCGTGTGTGTGTGTGTGTGTGTGTTGCAGTGGAGCTGACCTGACGGCATTGGTGAGGGAAGCATCTGTAAATGCCCTGAAGGCCTTCATGAAGTCTCAGCACCATGGTAACCGCTCACCTCCTCTGTGTGCAGCTGATCACTGTTGTACTGCAAAACACTGAATAGTCTAGTTTCTACTGCAGATATCTTAGAACTAACTTACAAGTAACTTTTCAGTGAGCTATAGAAGCTTGTTTTAAATAAAAGTTCCACTGGCAGATTATTTCACTTCTAGTGTTTTTTTTCATCCATATTAAGCAATTTTTGACTTAGACAATCTTGCTTAAAAGTTACTTGCAAGTTAGTTTTGTCCTATTTGAAGTGTACCAGGATATTTGCACTAGAAACCAGACTAAAAATACTTAGTTTTCTTTTTTTAATTATTATTTTTGTTCAGTCAGAAATATAGAGTTGGTATCTAAAAAGCAGAAATTTCCTCTGATCATTTGCTGTCCCCTTTTTTTTCTTATTTATATGAACAAGGTTGTAAGCCTGCCAACTTAAAAATGGTTGAGAAAGCAAACCTGTCACTATATCAGTTCATACATATGTATTATTTAGGACATGAGGACACAAATAGGCTGATTGATACAAGTCTACAAAGTCTGACCAATTAGGGAAGATTTAGTGATTTTTTTTTGTTTGAAGTGTATTTATTATAAGTTGTATGAATCTGATCCTTTATGCACACTTTTGTGGAATTCTGGTTTAGTATCTAAGAGGTCTTGTTTAATTACCACGTACTTTGCTCTGGTTGGTGATGCTCTGTTTCTACAGATTTTTCTGGAAAGCCTCCTTTTCTTTAAACCGTGATGAAAGCTCATCCTAAAACAACCCGTTCTGTTTGAAGCCGTTGTGTTGCGGCAGAGTTCTGTCTCTGAGCTCCTGTTCTCCCCTCTGCCTGCAGATCACACGCATCCTACCAGCTGCACAGCTGCCATCAAGGTCAGCAGACAGAACTTTGAGGACGCCTTCAAGACCGTCCGACCGTCTGTGTCCAAAAAGGTGAGAAAGTAACGTCTGGGTGATCGCTGCTGGGTTGGGACGTTACTCTGCTGGAGCCGTCTGGAAACTGGCGACCATGTTTTAGCTCAACAGGTAGATGTTGTTGAGTTGTTGAGATCTGAATTATTTTTTTATTTAGACTAATTCAAATATTAAATAGAAAAAAATTCAGGTGAATGTTGCGGTCTGGATTTTTACTAAACAATCTAAAATTGAACTTTCTTCTTCTTTTTTTTTTTTTTTTAATTCTAAAATGAAATAGGCTGGCCTGTTGAATGTTGTCCACTCACTACTCATACTTACCTCACACAACCACGTCCTGATGGCGACTGTATGTTGTCTTTGCAGGACCAGCTGATGTATGAGCAGCTCAGAGAGTCTCTCAGCAGATGACCAACGAACCGCAGACAGATGTCACAACAATTATGTATTTGCATATCTTTGTGGAAGTATTATTACACACATTCTTTTTTTTTTTTTTTATAAAATATGTGACAAACTTCTCCACTTCTGCTTCATTTTATCAGATTATCAGTCAAAGTCACGTTACGCCAGCCCCCACTGTGCTGTACATGTAGCCTGAGGAACGCAAGCAACAGTACATTATTCTAACAATTTAAACTATTTACAATTAGGCTCATATGTTACTTACAACCAGCAGGCGGCACAGATCGTCTCTCTTCGCCCAGCACTTTGTGTCATTTGCAGATGTCGGAGCAGAGGTTTTATTTTCAGTACTGCCTCCAGTTCAGCCTGCTGCACTTTTTATTTCTGATGGCTTAGTTCACCACCTGCTTTAATGACTGAAACTACATGCTCATTTTGCTGCCAATTGTGACAAAAATAAGAAATAATTTTATTCCGTTTGTCCTTTGCGCCCTAAATATAAATTCCTTTTTTTTTTTTTTTTTTTTAAATCAAAACCAATTGTTCACCATGGATATA